AGTTGTCAGCCATGAGGACTAAGATGGAATGCCTCGTTTCCAGTAAAATAGGGTCTCCGGAACACAGCAGTATTAAGCTGCTATTTTACGCTGGTATTCTGTGAGAGCGTGGTCCTTCCCCAGTCGAGCCGACCCATGTGTGCTACAAACAAATTCTAGCTGCAGCGTGGCTCTACCACGTAAAAAAGACTAGACCATTCACGCTATCGCCCTGTATCGGTCCCTGGCGTCATTAGAGAACAAAGCAAATCCCAGTTGTATTTGCAAAATCTCAGGTCTGAAATTAAAAATTAGTGTTTAAAAGACGTAATTAATTGTAATTAGGTGCGTGGTACCCAAATATAACTTACCTCAAAAGATATTCCACAATAAAATACATTTAAATCGTAGGTACGATTGGAATATTTGGGAGTCTATCCCAGTTGTATTTGCAAAATCTCAGGTCTGAAATTAAAAAATTGATTGAAACGTATATAATGTTGTATTACTTACTCAGTGCGATTATTTGGGTATCCCGTTATAAAATGTTAGTGTGTAATATTGTATGTGCGTGGTACCCAAATATAACTTACCTCAAAAGATATTCCACAATAAAATACATTTAAATCGTAGGTACGATTGGAATATTTGGGAGTCTAAATGCTGTGTATTAAAAAAGCTGGTATATTAGTACTTAATGGTTAGGAAAAATTATCACATTTTATAATAATAATCATCTGTATGCAAAGCAATTGAATTTAAATAATTAGAAATATGTTAAATTAACTTCCCTTTTGTAGAGACAGACATTATCGATAATATCTTATCAGAAACAGAACTTTTTTATTCAATATATATTATAAATAATACTTATTGAAAGTCACTTTTTTAATTTACCACTAGACTACACTATTGAAATATCCTTAACAGGCAGAGGCACGCTTTGCATGTAGCCTTGTTAAACTTAGAATTATTGTTTTAAAATTGTAGGGTTCTGTCGCTAAATACTCTTCTGAAGAAAAAAATTATAGAATTAGGTTGACAAATGAGCACACAGTCTTCCTGATGGTAAATGGATGCCGTTGCAGATGTTCGACAAAAAATAATAAATAGAGAAGAATGAGTTCCGAAAAGATTATATTCGACTATAATTATGCAGCATGTACTTTAAATAAAAATGTTTTTCTCATAGAGCTGCCCATATATCATTCCATGAGTGTCGTAGGATTCGACAGAGAAAAACAAGTCGGGAGATGGGCAGCGTTTTCTTAATAACGATTTAAAATGAAAACTAAAAACTGCTGTTGTCAACCCGCTTGCCAAGCACAGCAACTATGGCAAATATTCCCATAAATATTGCAAATAACGGAATCTATGGGGGAAAGCTATGTTAAGCTAGGCTTCATCTCAGTGCCATTGTGTAAGGTGCATAAGAAAAATACACATCCAAACATAAACACTTAAAATTAAATAATATTAAACTTATTTTTTTTATTAGAATAAAGTATGTAGCAAAATTACAAAATATATTGAAGGAGAACTCACAACATTTTAACAATAAAATATTTCTATTTGAAGAATTCTAGCAAATTTGACATCGTATTCTTGTTTAATACCTTTTAGTACCCGTTTCCAATCGCCGTGCGGTTTTAGTAATTACAATTTAAATAAGCAACAAGACACTCATATATTTTTTTAAGAACAGCGTTTCTTTCAGCGAATTAAATTAACAATTTTTGAAGTTTATTTATGAACTAAGTGGTAGGACCCAATTTCCGTCTGTGAGGTCGTCGGTGTAGGTATTACCCTCTTACCTGGTACCGTTATATATACAGGTTGCAAGGCACTCCATCTCTGTTCGTAGAGGTGATTGCGGCCTTCTTTGTTTGGAATTAGCTGCCAGTTTCCGTGGGCTTCAGTAGTATCGTCAAATGGACTGTAACTTCGTTGTTTGATACTTCAGTTTTATTAAAAAAAAAACTATGACAAATAAATACTAATATAGTCAACATTTTTATAACGTTTATTTTAGGAATTTCAAGAATATTCTGAATTACTTACTCATGTTATTGGATTGGATAGTATTACCATTCAGCGAGGAAACGCAGCCAGTATTCTTGGCATGATACCACTTCAAGATACTATAATTATATAAAAACTAGATTTATTTAAATGTGTAGTGTTCGCGTAAATATAAGAAATCATTAAATATTTGACCCATTTTCCAACTATTTTATAAATGTTATTTATATTTATTATTTATATTTTCGAGTTGTATTTTTATTATTTAATATATTTTGGATATTTTAATAGAGCTTTAATAAATTTAATGATTTTTTAAAGACAACATTAAGCCTTTACTTTACTAAAATAATACTTAATGTCTGTAATACATTTATTTTAACTTTATGCTTTTAAATGTATTTTTAATAGCTTAAAATATTATTTCTAAGATAAGTTTAGACGGCTTTATATAGATTTTTATTATTATTAGTAATAATGCGACGTCAAAATTTGTTTATATATTTTAGAGTGATTTAACAATCTCAACTAGAACAATCAGTCTTTTTTTCTCGGTTAGTGCGAAGCTAGGCTAACAAAAATATACACGCACTTTCTCAATAAACCTAGGTCAAACAAATGCACAGTTTTAAAAATCTTTGAAAGCTAAAAATAGAACAATTACAATAATTCTAATTAACCTGTGACGATGTGAATGATGTAATAATATTTTATCATTAGATCACAATAAGTGAAGTTCGTTAAAAATAAATTAAACCTACATAGTAATATGCAAGCGTAGACAGAGAAACCTATAGACAAACTGACGCCTTCTTTCGCATTCGCACACGAAAAAGATAGATTTATGCATACGTCTTGCATAGAAATGAGACAGAGCGGTGTGATTGTTTGTCCCTTTCTCCGTGCTGGTTTTTTTTTGTTTAGCAAACTACACTTTGCTAAACAACTTTGACAGTTCGTAGCGATCTAAGGAGTTTACAAGTTCGTTTAAGTGAGAAAAAAGTGTTTTGTGAGCTTAAGATTGGTGAATCTTGTTCAGTTCAGTTATTAGAACAATTAAAATTTTTATCTAAATATGTTTGAAAGTCATAAAGATTATTGCATAACCTAAAACTACGTTATCGTTCTTTCTCACTCGAGGCCACGCTAATCATTAGTCTATAGGTTTCTCTGTCTACGTATGCAAGAGTCTTCTCGATAGCCATTTTGATATCTATCAATTAAAAAAGTTAGTAATCAAAGTTAAATAGTATTATGTTGTAAGTCAAATATAATAATTTATCCAGTACCCGGATGACCGATGAGCTTAGCTCGGTTTTTTTTTAAATTACATTTAGATACAAATTACATACTGATGAATAATATTTTTTGATCTTATTGACATAATAGAAAAAACTGAACTGGTTATTTGAATAAAAAATTATGAGTGCAATTAGTTTTATTAAAATTTTCGTATTTTTAAAAAAATACTAAAAAAAGAGCTCGAAATAATAGATTTTCTCACAAAAGAAGGGAACTTGAAAAAAAAAAAGGAAAAAAGTCGGACCGAAGACAGGACGCGAACCAAGGCATTACGATTTTGCGACCGCTCGATATCCACTTGAGCTATTACGATCATTAACACAATGTCAAAATTTACGCTATATTATAATTGCTATAATTGTTATAATATAATTGCTCGTTTAAAGGTATAGGATTTCACCAGTCAAGTTAGATCGCCTGTCCACATACATTTGTCTCATATTGCTGAATGTGCTTACAAGTTACCCTAGAGGGAGGAGCGGATAAATATTTAATACCAAGTGGCTGTAGTTCATTAGCTTTTCTTCTTTATTGCATTCGTTAAAGTTCGTTCAAATTCGGTGCATGCTAAAAACCTTCGCCTTTGACCAAAACTTCGGCCCACTATGGCCACTACGATCTACTTCGTACTTACTATCACTTTTTGTGGCCGAAGGTGACCGAAGCCGAAGCCCGACGCTTTGGTCGGACATAATTTATATCACAAAATATTCTTGCAACTCACTCATAGAAACCTATATGTAGGTTTTTTCCAATTTTTCGGAATCATGAAGTTTGGTTGAAAGGAAGTTCTCATAGCACAAGTAAAGAAATAATCCGAAGACCGTTAGTTAGTGATATATTATCACCATATCGAATAAAATAGTTTTTAAGGAATTTAAAAATTTAGATTTGCAGTTGGAGCATCGACCGCGATATTATACGATTTATGGAAGAACGTTTTTTCTCTGTGAAAATTTGTTCATTCTTCAATCCGTCTTACCTTTTCGTTATATGTTTATCACAATGCTCGGTGCTACCATATTATGAATTTAAGTGAAGTTAATTATTTTGGTGAAAGTATCTAATCTAACTGTTTTCACTGTTATACGTAGCTCTTGCCTTATAAATGAATATTATTTTTGTTAACTTACGGTATTGATGTTTTGGTATCGAAAACAGAAAAATTGTCGAGACACTCAATTACTGGGATGAGGAAGTAATCTACTTACAGAATAATCAGGTTTATTTGAAACACTCAGGATTCGAGTCCCAGTGAACACAAATGCTTATTTTACGTTGGCTAGCGTCCTCTTCGCTCTTATTCGCGTTTTGCATTACTGATTGATAATTTTTTAATAATTATATCATCCTAAACATGTATATGATTATGTCACTTACAAGTACATTACCTGTATACATTACATTACTAGGACAGTACCTCTATGAGGGTAACAACAGCAAATTGCGGGCATAAGTTTTTGAGAGGTAGCCAGGTAATAAAATTAACTCGAAGAATGTCAATAATAGTATTTGCAAAGTTAGTTACATGATAGATATCAAATATACAGAATTAGTTTGTTTCATTATTAATTTTGAGTGTATTCAGTTTAATTGCTTGTTCTTAATGTCACATTAATGTCTTATTTTAAGATCGTCCACACTTCAAACTTTTATTTTTTTCTGTTCATTTATTTGCTTTTTCTGTGTCTTTCCAGAGGGCGAATGCTCATCAACAGCATTTAAGTGGCGGTGAGTTTAAAATTTTATTTTTACGATATATGTTTTAAAATTTATTCACTAATTAATATTAACGTTGACATTTCCATATGTCAATTAATTTTAACTAGTGATCGCCTAGTAGTCGAAATTACCATAATTCATTGAATTTTTAGGTTTGACTTTGAAACAAGCTGTATTACAAAATCAACTGCACATTAATATATAAAACACAGATACACAAAATATAAAGTACACGCTTTTTTTCCTTGCCTCTTACTTCCACACTTTATTGAAGAAGAAACATCTCTAGTCTGTGCAATTGTTTGGACCAGAGACTATTAAATGTTTGACATTGGCCTTGCCCTAGATATTATGAGACATTGGCAGTGATAACGTCAACAAACGACATAATTTGTCCATGCGACAGTTAGGTATTTGACATTGGCAGGATTAATGTAAACCACGCGTAAACAATGGTACCTACTTAAAAAAGGGTACAATGTTTCCCTTCATATATTAATAAATATATTATTTGTATAGTTTTGCTCGGCTTCATTATGAAATTTTATAGCCTAAGATTACTTTTAACTTTTATGATGAAAATTGAACTATAGATCCTGATGTCTGATTCGCTTCAAACTACAGGAAATTTCGACATTTATTCCCGGGACTCAAATTAACGTTGAGACTGGATGTAGGTATTTTAATTATAAATGTTTCCTAAGAAATCAGAGCCTGCAACGTTCATACATATAACTACAATATTGTTATCTCTTTTGAAAAGCTCCGCGTGGCGCAGTTGGTGCTGCTGCAACTAGCAGCAGTTACCTGGTCTGGATGTTTGTCCTTGTTTAATTTATGTATATAAACTGCCTTCACGATAAGGAAGAAAATTCTAGTGGGAGGTAACTTAAAAAAGAAAGGAGAAAAGGAAGAGCTAGTAGATATTTACAAGTCCGGTGTGCTCCCTGGCGTTAACTAATCGGTTATTATCTGGCGAGATTACGATCAAAGCCAGGTTTAGTTGTTAGTACAAAAACGATAGTTTAATAAAAAAAAAAAACATCTTTTAATATTAATACCGACTTCAAGAACTAAAAAGAATGTAATAAATTAAATTACACATAATACGTTCTGAGGTCAATGTTAAGGCAATTATATAATATTAAAGACTATAATTCTTTGATTGATGTAATAACACCAGTCTTGAAAAAATATATATTCAACATGTTATTTTTACTTGAATTTATTCGTGCTGTGAGATCTTGTTTTCAGTTTGTGATTCTTGACCAAGTTCAGTGATTCTAGGTCGCCGGGAAGTGCTCTGAGAAATTGTTCGGACTAATTCCAGCCACACAATTTAACCGTCGCACATCGCGACAAAACTCGCGACATCTGGCTGACTGTCGGGCCACCACTGTGCGATTTAAAAGAAGTTTTCTTCCTTGCACAACTTTCTTGTGGAATCGACTAGCACCTGAGATTTTTCCGGACCGATACGACTTAGATCCCTTGGTCACTAAGTGAGCTCGGTAACAAACACAAAAGATGAACAGTGATGAACTTTTACTTTTACATTAATGTCGTCATAACACTGGAATTCTTCTTTCACTGCCCGTATGTTCTCTTACTTTTCTGCTCTCAGGAATACACATATTAGACGTCCCATATCTTTCTGGTCTCTTTCCTATTCTGCTGGGTCTCAGAGGCAGTTCAGGAGTGCCGTAGCTTTTTCATATTCACTAGGTACATAAAGACTATCTGAGCTATTCGATGTTTCGAGTTGTGTGTCCCCGTCTGTGATTATTTCATTAGAACTTGTATTCTTGACAGTTGTAACCTCCACTAAGCACGAGTTTTGACCTGATTCAATTATTGGTATAACAATTTCAAGGTTCTTTTCCTCTTCCATAACAATGATAATATGTGCTTCTCATACGAGGGCGGCACTGAAAATTTCGGGAATCAAGGAAGTGACACAACATTACTATTTAAAAATGTATTTATTGCTTTTCGAAGTATTCTCCGCGAAATTTGACACATTTTTACATACGATGGAACCAATCATTGAAGCAACCATTCCATTCGGAAGTTGGGGTCTCCAAAATGGCCGTTTTGTAGGCGTCCACAGATTCTTCAGGTGATGAAAATTCTGTCCACGCAATTTATTCTTTATTTTAGGGAAAGTATAGAAATCATTAGGGCTTAGGTCGGGGCTGTATTTATTCTTTATTTTAGGGAAAGTATAGAAATCATTAGGGCTTAGGTCGGGGCTGTACGGCGGATGGTCTAATAACTATATGTTTTCTTGCTCTAAAAACTCTTTTGTTCTGTGTGCGGTGTGAGAACTCGATTGTCGTGATGGAGGATGATGCGGCGGTTGCAGTTCTCTTTACGGAGTCCAGAAACGACCTGTGGCAGACAAATGCTAGCATATACCATTCTGCATTAACCGTTCTTTGTCCCTCAAGAGGAATAGTGTACTGGCGGTTTTGACAAACGTGGCCACCATTTTTTGCAACACTCCGTGAACGAACAATTTTTGTTGGCTTTAACTCATTTTCGAACACCCAAACTCGTAACTGGTTTTTTGTTTCGAGTTCGTACGCGTATATCCAGGGTTCGTCACCTGATACGATGTTGTATACAGCATTTAAGGATCTTGCGTGGAATCTTTCGAGAGTTCTGACGCACCAAGTAACGCGAGCCGCTTTTTGCTCTTCACAGAGCGAATGCGGTATCCATCGGGAAAACAACTTTTTTTACACCTATTTGTTCATGCAAGATTATTTGTATTTGACTCATGCCAATGTCTAAAGTTGCCTAAATTTCGCGGTATGTCACATGTCAATCTTCCTCAATCAGCTTACGCACAGCATCAACGTTTTTTTTTTGGGTGACTGCAGTTTTTGGACGAGCTTGACGGGGATCATCACTGAGCTTGACACGTCCACGTTGAAATTCAGCAAACCAGCGATAAATTGTGGTTTTGGATGGGGCTTCATCACCAAATGCAGAAATCATCCGGTCAACACACTGTTTTTGTGTTAAACCACTTCGAAAGTCATAATAAATCATCGCTCTTGAATTTTCTCAAGTCAATTCCATTTTCTCAACGACTAAACACGTTTGACAAAACCTTGTGACAAGACCGAGAATCTTCTTTTAAATAAATAAATGGAATTCGATTTTTAAAACCAAGTAGTTTTCAATTAAAACTATTTTAATATGACAGGAACAGTGAAAATATTACATTCCCGATACTTTTAGTGCAGTCTAGTACTTTCTTTCCCATTTATGTCGCTTTCCTTTAACCACATGAACCATGACTTCATTTTTACACACTTACTCACAATATGTAAGTAAGTAAAGTATATGTGGTTTGCTTTCGGTCTAGACTTCATAAGAAGTATTTTCATTGAGAGCAGAAAGAAAAGTACGATTTTGTAAATAAAGGGCGGTGTTGGTGACCTCTGCGCAGAATTATAATATTCGCATCAAATAATGAGCATCTGGATTTCTCTACTATGGTACGATTATTACACTCTGATAAGACATTTCGTTTGTTCAAATTACAATATTAATTAATGTTAAATTACATATTAATTTTTATTACAATACGCACACCCGTCATTGTTTGTCAATATCTTTATTTATTTTCATTTTAGTTTGTTTCTCAACATTTGCTTTAAATCCTGTAAGGCATTTGAGTGCTACACTTTATGTTTGATGAAATAAACGTCATTCGACTAAAGTCATTAATGAATAATATAAAATACATGGACCTTGGTAATGATTTGTACTCCATAGGTCTACAAAAATCAATGTGTTCTAAATGAAATAATTTTTTGCTTCTTGAATCCTTCATTTGTGTGTGTAAAAGAATGGCAATCGACACTTTTTATCCTCACAGTAAACTGTACATGATTTCTTATCTAGATCAATTTTCTTCGAGATTCATTTTTTTAACATCAAATTTTTAGATATTTACTTTTAACATGACCTAATCGGAGATGCCAAGTATTGCCCATTATAGCCAAATTAACCACTATAGTACTATAAACTTGTACATTCCATTGATTAACACAGCTGTGGCCACTAGTTCACTGTTAATGTTATCCATTCATCCATTTATTTTGTTCTGATGGTTAATTATACATATAAAGCTTCCCTGTCTATTGATAAAAACAGCATTGAAATCACAGTACAGACTTTGTTTTATACTATGTAGAGATTCGCTTTTTTATTTGTTATAATTTTTTTTTACTTTAAGTATATTGAAATGAAACATCCATATTACTTATCTGTAATTGATTGAAGGGTGTAAAAGTATGTTGTTTTTATTTTGAAGTTACATTGAATGGTGTGCGCAGATATTTAACGTTTCGTTTTAGTGCGCCGTAGGTCGATGGTTACTGCGTCATTTGCTTTTAGGGGTGAGTTTGCGGGGAAAAGAGTAGTTTTAAGAGGTGTGGAGGGTAGAGGTGGTGGTACTGGTAACTAGAACGCAGAACGCGCATTCGTAAAAGTGTTTTAAAGAAAGCAAATGCTTAATTATACGGATAGATATTAATTTTCATTTGCCAGTAAAAGTTGAAGGAAGATCTCTAAAATAAAATGAACTATTCTGTAAATAAAGTAATAAAAATAAAATAAATAATAAAAATAAATTAAATAAATAAAAAATAAAATAAACTTCTAAAATGGGTAATACGTTAATTACCGAATAAAGCGAAGAGAATCAATAAGACCAGATCCACATTTTCATCATCTTGACGTATATTAATCAGAGACATTATAACATTTATAGTATGTACTTGTATCTTGAGTCTGGATGCCCCTTTCGACGATATCGTATCACAACTCATTCGCCATATCGTGTCAAAAATGAAAAATGAGTCCCAATTAATTATATTATGACCACGTTACGGCATAACGTTCTTTATATAGGGAAGCTACTAATTTTCCTTCGATCCTCGTATATTTTACACGTCCATACTTGTTATGTTATGACTTTGTAGCGGCGTGTG